TTTACAAACCCACATTTCATCGGGCATTACTGCTTGCAATGTAGAGAAAAACACTATTTATAAGTCCACATATAACTGCATTCCACAAAGCCCACCAAAACAAACAATTAGTGTCATGGTCAGCACAGGACTTTTCTGGAGTGTTAGCTGTCCTGCTGTGTCAGAGCTGCGAGCAGAGTGCATCTCCTGGGCTGGCAGGGGCTGAGGAATCCTTCAGCCTGTTCTGTTCTGCTCCTGCCTTTTTGTGTCTTCCACAGCCTCTGGGGAGCAATTCCAGCACTTCTCCAGTGTGCTGAGACAAGGGCAAAGGCCCCTAAGCCCCCGAGACCCTCTGAGATGTCAGGCCCAAAGAGACAGGGATCAGTGACAGCGAGGAACATGAAGAACATTCCATTGGTCTGATATCTCCAGGAGTTTCCATTTGCCTTCATGCAGATGATTCCCAGGCTTTGCCTAGCCCTGCTCCTGGATTTTGGGATTGGCTGGAAACACAGAGAAGCTGAGTGGAAATTTCTTTGGTACCAAGAATTCACCCTTTTTTCCCAAGTGACTTCATGTTTTCCTTGTTTCATGAGACCCTTCTTAAACCAGCTGCACTGAACTTCCTTCTCCAGCCTCATCTTCCCCAAAAGCAACCCCCAACACAGAGACACCATAGCACTGCTTCCTAAAAACTTCCAAAACTTCCCACTCCTGTTGCTGTTCTTGTCATGCCAGATTGTCCCTCAGGATTCTTGGCTTGTTTGGTTTGATCTGTATTGTGCACATTAGTACCAGGCAGGTCTCAAATCCCTCAGCAAACAAGAACGAGCCAAATGCTGTTTTCCAAAACCCAACTTTGCTGGAAGCACAATACTGAGGTGTCCCACCAAGATCTGCTCAAGCCATCCAAGCTGTGACTTTCTGCTCTGGGATTGAGAGATCCCACAGGGACAGCTTCCCTGTGCCTAACCACAAAGGGAGTTTGCCAACCAGCCCTCCCTTCCTCAGCAGCTGAGGCCTGCACATCCACTTCACTCTGCAGAGCACACTGCTTCCCATGGCTTCTGGTGCTTCTGCTCACTGCTGAGGAAAGACCAGAACTGCTTCAGTCTCCACATTATTAAAATTAACCCTAATTCTCTTAGAATAACCTTGTCATAAGTGTAAGGAAGAAAAAGGAAAGGGGAGCTGAAGGGACACCAGGGTGACAGGACACAACCAAAGACCTTTTTGAGGCATCTCTGCTGGAGACCAGCAGTTGAAGGACCCCCAGGTGGCCTTGGCATCCATTTTCAGAGGGGAAGAGGGAATAATGTGATGTGGAGGGGTGACAAACACAGGGCAGCTCCGGACCTGCCACATCACATCCCTGCAGCAGTGTGCTGCAGGCTGACCTCCAGAGCTGAGCTTACTGCGCAGCCTGGGTGCTCCTGGGTCTTGCCCAGGCTCTGTACAGCATAAACAACACAGGAGAAGCTGTGGCTGCCCCATCCCTGGAGGTGCCTAAGGTTGGACAGGCCTGGAGCAACCTGGGATACGGGAATGTGTCCCTGCCCAGAGCAGAGGCTGGAACTGGATAGTCTCTAAGGTCCCCTCCAACCCAAACCATCCTGTAATTGTCTTGTCTTTCTGTTTGTGGAACTCATCCAAGAGCAGACCCTCAGTTTGTTTGGGATGCTGAAGCTTTGCTGCAAAGCAATGACGTAGACTGATACCGGAGCGCCTGCAGGGAAGGAGGGCTGCCTGCAGCAGAAACAGGTGTTTAAGCTGCCTCACTGTCCACAACAGAGCACAAAGGCATTTGATATCACGACAATCAAAATGGTAGGTTTATTTACATGCATTTTCATATGGCAGTATTTTCAAATTACAGGTATTACACAGAAAAATGACTCGAACAAAATAATTTCCCCTCTAACATTGGTATAATGCTCACTTGGAGAGAAGGAAAGGAGATCTGTTGGACTGCAGTCACTCTCACTTTGGATGAGGTGTTTTGTTAAACTGTGACTGTGGTGAGAAAGAGAGGTGGGCAGTTTGCCACAGATGTGGCAGCTGAGGCAGGGCTGCACAGGAGTTCATCTCTCCTCCTCCACTCCGAGGACATGGAAAGGTGGCACCTGCTGGCTGGGGAGTCCTGGCTGGGCCAGGAACACTCCTGGTGGGCAAAGGTCCGTGGCTGCCCAGGAGCTGCTGTAACACGGGATGCTCCCCACAGGCAGCCAGGGTCAGCTCTGCCAGGACAATCTGCACCTAAAAGTGCTGTGAGCACTGCTGAGCCCTTCGAGGGCAGCAGGTGTCAGTGCTTTGGTGCTCCTGCTCTACCTGCCCTCACACAAGTGTGCTTCATTTCTAATGGTGCCTGCCTCTCTGGAAGCAGCTCTGCCTGTCAGAGCTTTCCTTTCCCTGGCCAGGGGCCAGTTTCCATCACTGAGGTATGAAAAAGCTTTCCAAAAGCACTGGAAACACCTGGGTGCTACAGGAGCTCTTCCTGCCCCATCTGAGTCTTTGCAAAACTTTACCAACCCCTCCGTGGTTTTGATGTTGGTAAAAGAGCTGCAGGTTTCCTCGCAGGGTGTTTGCCGAGGCCTGACTCCCCTTTCTGCCCCGGACCAGCCCTGTCGAGCCGGGCAGCAGCGGAAGGGGGCTCTGAGATGATCGGGGCGGAGTCCCAGCGGGTACCCGGGAGGTGACACTCAATGGCACTTCCCGACTTGCTGCCCCAGCTGAGGGACTCCTCCGGTGACGCTGGTAGAGCTGCAGGACGGTGGTCCGGACCTACGGGCCCAGCAGCGGCCGCTCCGTGCCCTCCGTGCCCCGGCAGTGCCCGCTCCCCCGGGCACGGGCAGGACGCGCTGCTGGGGCTGCCGCAGTGCGGGGACAAGCGCCGTGCCCAGGGCTGCTCTTCAGCCGTGCCCAGGGCTCCCTCGGCCTGTGCCCAGCCACGCCAGCGGTGAGTGGCCACCCTGGCACCCAGCAGCCCTGCCCCGCCCGGAGCGCTGGCAGCAGGGCAGGCTCCAGCCCCGCTCCGTGCCCGGGCACACACGGGACAGTGACGGGAACAGAACAACCCAAAGCCCTGAGCATCCCCGTCCCCGCGCTGCAGGAGGGCAGTGCTGGCTCCTGCTCGTCCCCCTCTGGCTGCTCGCTGTGCCCGGGTGAGCAGCAGCGCCCAGAGCCAGCAGGCAGTTTGTCACCTGTGCCTGAGAGGGCGTTCAGCCCTTGGGAAAAACATGGATAAACTGCTGAAAGTCAACGGCAGAGCCTGGCTCCAGTTTATCCTCGTGTGAAACCAGCACACATTGACGGGGAGTATTGCAAACCTGGGCAGAAACAAGTTGGCCACATTCCAGGTCATAATTTATCACGTTTTGTAAAGGCATCGTTTAAACATTTATTTACTTTGTGTTTATTTTGTTCCCTTTTAAATAGTTTTTTTCTCAGCCCCTTTGTATTTTGTGTTCTGTGCTCCTCACTGACACTTTCATGACAAAGTTTCAGGACAAATTCTGCTTTAGAGCTGTCAGATGCCTGCAAGGGCCAGGCTGAAATCAGCACAGGTACTCTGTACACACACATTTCTGCAATACACCCCTTTATTTCACAATGCCCATGTCACCTGTACCAAGGGAAACATCAGGTATTTCTTTGTACCTCACGTTAAATTTATCAGATCTTAAATTCATTAGATGTTAAATTCATCAGATCACAACAGATGGGCTGAAAATACCAGAGACACCAGGCCAATCAGCAGATTAAAGGTGTCCATGTTTGATACATCTGTGCTATACTGATGCTGCTTTTAAACAGAAAAAAAAGAAAAGGGAAACAATTTGGAATACCTTTACTTCTCTTAGCTGAAACCCAGAGGCATAGGTCTCATCTTCCAATGATTTTCAATTTTCTCTTTTTTTTCAATGCAGGCCATGATCAAGCAGAACACTTCAGAACGTGCTTTATTTTAAGATTCTGGATAACTGCTATGAAATTATAATTTGGGATATAGGAGTGCCCTCTTGAATCAAGACCAAAATCTTTTATTCCCAAACATATACACGGTACCCAGATCAGAAGCTGGTGAATTCAGGAGCATTTTAATCTTTCAAAGTGTTTTGTGACATTTCATGCAAAGTTCTGCACTGACAATGACTCATCCACATGTTTTGCAGCTGTTCATAGAGAGCCTCCATGCCCAAGGGAGAGATCTGGGCTGGGACAGACCAGAAACCCCCAGCCCATTTCCAGAGAGGTTCAACCCACCAAACTGCCTCCTTCCCTTCCCACGGAGCCTGGAGAGGTCTGCTCCAGGATACCTTTACAAACTCTCCATCCGAGGTCCGTGACCAGCTCTAGTGCTGATGACAGAGAATAAGCAGATTTGGTGTCCCTGTGGTGAAGTCTCCTCCCGGTGGCACAGAACAGGCACAGATGTACCATTGTGCTTGCCCTGTCCCAGCTGAGGGCACGGATGCCCTTGGAACAGGAAATGCTGCTGAGGGTCCTGTCAGTGGGAGTGCTGTGCTCCTCTCACGGGTGGCTGCACTTCAGCAGAGCACGAAAACACCTCTGTCCTCACTCAGCCCACCATACTTCACTGGGCTGCTCTGGGATCCACAGAGCTCTCAGGAACAATTAGTCCAATTATCTGCCCTGTGGCCCTGACCACCCCACGATCAGCCCATGCCATCGAGTGCCAGAGGGTGGCACAAACAGTGGCACAGGGTGCCTGGGGAGCAAGGTCGGGGTGAGTGGTGTGATCACCAAATCAAAGAGCCAGACAACCATAAACAGACATACATATATAATATGTACAGTGGCCATGGGTGCATGTGCACCATGAAGGAAATCATCACATTTTAGACTGCAGAAAATGATCAAACTCTGAATTTTTTTAGTGCCAAGTGTATCTAACTAGCCAGCAAAAAGAACAGGAAATGTCCAGATGTGGGCTGAATGACCTGGTGCAGATGTCAGCTGGGGTATTCTTCCCTTCTCAATTTCAGACACAAAGTGCAAGAGCATTCTTTTATTTTTCACTACATGCTGTGGACAGAAATTTATCTCAGTAGTGTTTGGTTTGGTTTCTACTTTTTCTCTCACTCTCTTCAGCTTTTCCAATAGATTCACTGGGACTAAAACACAGAGCTAAGGTACAGCCATTAATTCAATCAGCAGAAATTTCCAAGCCTCTCAGTAGGAATGAGCCAGGCTTTTGGAACAGACTGAGATAATGCAGTGGAAGGAGAGCTCTGAACCCATCCAAATGTGGTCTTCAGTCCATGATCTGTGTTTTTTCACTGTGGAGTACTGCTAAGATATCTCCAAAAAGTGTCTAAGAAAGTTAAACCTGCTACCATTAATCAGAAATTCACCACTGAGGAGGTTGAACCTCTGTAGGAAAACTACTGGGGGTGCACAAGTTGTTAAGAGGAAGAAGTTATTAGACCTGTTGAAAACCTGTGGTTACAAAATCAAACTGCCAATGAGTCTGCACAACAACTGGATTCAAAATATTTACTGCCAAAATTCAAGGTATGTAGTGATGTGGACACAGGAACTTCCCTGGGACGCTGCACGCTGGCAAAAATCAGCTGGCCTGGAAGGAATATTAGAGGACTCCCCAGTATTCCAGCTGCAGGCACCTACAAACACTACATCAGGCTGTATTAATTACTGGCTTGCACTGGAAGCAAATAAGGAGCTTGGGAAAGACAGGGAGAGGAGGATAATTATCATCAATAATAATATCAGTGGCAGCAGCTGTTTTCTCCCTTGCTCATGTTCCTGATCCCTAAAAGTAAGATGCTGGCTAGAACTGGGTTTTGGAAAGATTGAACTATTAGCAAGACTGCCAAAAGAAAAGTGCTCCTGCCACTCCTGTAACAAGGATGGGGCTGCTTGCAATCCAAATGATGGAAAAATAAAAGGAGAGCTGGATGTTGCTGCTGCCAACTCCTCTGGTGCTGTCGGGGTGGGGGCTGCAGAACACCTTCCCAGCAGTATGAGGGCTGGAGAAGGGGCCACTTCAGGACATGCACATCACAGGGTTGTGTGACAGCCTGGCCACAGCACACGGCCCTGGCAGCTGCTACAAGATGGTGGCTCCAGCAGCATCTGCACTCCTGGGGTCCTTCAGGCCAATGATGAAACTGTTGGTTCTCCTGGCCCCGTGAACCAGGGATACCACTGGGACTTTATTCACCTGGTGGCCCCTGGCCACAAGAAATTCAATATCTTCTTCAGGAAACTCACCTGCAGGGATTTGAAAAGAAGAGTTGGTAAGTGAAAGCAGTGCTGCCTGTGATGCAAAGGTCTGTCTAACACTGCTGGGGCCTGCAGTGGGGGGAACCTGCCTGCTGCCCCTTCAGAATGTCCAAACTCAAAAATTAGGACCTTGTGAAGTTTTAGATTTAATTCCATTTTAGTTTCAAAGTCTACAGGGCACACTGCAGGACAGATCCTATTTAGATTTTCCTCTGAAATGGGGAAGATCAGAAACTTTGGCTATTTGGTGTGGAATGAGAACCAAATTTCACTTATGGTTGGCTCTGGTGAAGTTTGGGGCAGTGTGAAAAACACCAAATAGACCAAGACTTAGAGTAACAAGGACAAGAGCTGACAGTACAGACTGCAGAGTGTCAGCACTGATACTGTGTTTTCAGCACTAGCAAGCTACAGGCTTTTCCACAAACCTTGCCTTTTTTCAAAGTGATGGAATTAAGGGACATGGACTGAAAAGTGAAGGGATGTTATTTATATCAGTGGGAATAAAGTGCAGGAAGATTTGAGCACATGTTTGGGTCAAGTTGAGGCTGCAGTCTTGCTGAGTTGGATATTGTTCATGGCACCTGATCTCCAGAAGGATTTAAGGACAGGACAAGGCCAGATGAGCTGGGACAGAGGGAAGGCTGCGGAGAAGCACCTGAAAGAGCTTGGAGAGGTAGTGCCAGAGGGGTCAGGAAGCATTTCCAGGACAAGAGGGAAAGGACATGGCTCAGCAAAGGCTCCAAGCTTTGAAGAAGTTGAAATCTGATTTTTGTGTTCCCCAAAACCCTCTACACCCCTGGGAACCCTAGAACATGGTGACCTGTGGTGCTTCCATTGCACTGTGCTAGGGAAATTCTGCTCTTTTCCTAAACTTGCTGGATTTGTGTCCCTTTGTGCCCCACCCAGTGTCCATACTCACTGTCAACCTGCAAGGTGTTGGACTGAAGCTGGGGGTGAAGTCGACCAAGTGACAAACTTTCACTCAGATTCTTGTTAAACGTTAAAACATTTACCAAAACCTGCAAGAGAATAAATTATCCTCAATAATAAAAAAAAAAACTATGATAATAGGAGAAGCCAGCTTCCTGAGCACCCCCCAAATTGGTGGCTCCAGCATCTGCACATGCAGCAGGCAAAGGAGATTTTGAATCATTTACTAAACTGCATGAACTGCTGCAGGGGTGTGCACACACTAAGAAGTCCTTGGAATGTGGTCTGTATGTTGTTGCTTGTAAAGCAGGACATTTTCAGGATGGCATGGGCTTTTTGTCACATAGCTCCTGCTAAAGTAGCAGAGTTGTGTGTCTGGAACATGATGTAAGCTCTAAAGAAGTGTTTGTTACACCCAAAAGCTCAGCATGTGACTTCTCCAAACAAAGCACTGGGAAGCAGTTCTTGGCTTTAGTTTTGCTCTGCATAATGCTTTCCAAAAGGTAAGAAAACTGGGAGACCTTCTCAGGCTTTTCTTTTCAGCAATCCATTACTGCTGTACATGCAATCAAGCTATTGGCAAGTACTTCACCTCCTTACAAATCATAAATTAAGAGGAACTGCCCAATTTATATTCAGTGTTGAGCTGGAAGAATTCAGTTGGGAATGCCCTAAAAGGAGCTTTTCATGTGGAAAAGGGCTAAAGGGCTGCCAGTTTTCTGCAATACACTGAATAAAAAAATTATCCTTTTTTTCTTAATCATCCTTAAGATGAGTTTTGAACAGGTATTAAAATGACAAAAGCCATTATAGATTTTGCCAGAATGCTTCTCCTCTACAGCTATGAGTGGTGCCACTAGGCAAGGTGCAAGAAAAGTAAACTGGTAACCCTTAGAGATTTGAAATAACCCAAGTGTGGAACTGGTGACACCAAAGACTGAACCAGTAACCTCTGGCCACCAGTTTTGACCCAGCCTGGGACAATTAGGAAGGGGAAGGAGGGGACCCTCCTCACCTTGGGCGAGCAGCTGCTCGGGGAGGACGTGGCACTGACCTGGATGAGGCTGCTCAGGGCTCGGTCCCCGTTGTTGGCTCCCAGGCACAGGTAGGTGCCACACATGCCCTGGGAGGGCCTCACGATGGTGGGCAGCAGGAAGGACCGCGGCCGCTTCCCCGGCTGAGGGAGGTTATGCTGCAGTTGAGGAAAAGTTGCACCAAAAAATGTCAACAAGCCAACTCTCCCACAGAAGGAGCATGGGGCTCATCACCCCCTCCCAAAGAAGAGGGTTTTACAATGCATAAGGCAGCCCTGGAAGCCAACAGCACAGGTCTGCATCTGTTTCTTTCCAAGACCTGGATATTTTTTCCTGCTACTTGTTACTTTTTAACCTGCAAAGCAACATTCATGAAGAAACTGCTTAATACAAGTCCACATTGTTACTTAAAAGTGCGTCTGGGCTGCAGGGAAAGTAGGTAACAGTGTTGTTTGATAATTCTGCAATGTATTAATAACTGATGGACATGGAGCCCTCTGTTTTCTCACTTTCAGTGGCTCATATAATGAAAAATAGCAGCTTTCTACACACTGTTGTCTCTGTTATTAACAAGGCATTAAATAGTTCCCCTGTTGTGAAGATGAGAATAAAATTGGAAGAAGAAAAGGTACATAAAGAATTTGTCACGTCATTCATTACCAGCCTGGGAATGGAGTGGTTCATTGTTTTATTTTGCCAGGAGAAGTCCAACATCTGGCTGTTCAGGAGGATTCCAGAGGGTGTTACTATTCCACTGCCAAAGGGACGATTCAAAGAACTGAAAAGAAACACAGGAAATTTCATAAAAATCATCCCAGAGATGTTTGTACACCTCGAGGCTTTCAAGGCTCCAACTTTCTGTCCCACCTTGTCTTGATAGAGATTCTTTGATGGTTCTCTAGGGCTGGTGAGATTGAGGAGAGACCAGTGCACTTAGGAGCAGAAGACACATATGCTACACAGTCTGTCCCTCCCTGTGTTTGAGGATTCCCCTTGCTGAGATGGATCTGCCTCCCTCAGTCCTACATTGGCCACCACCTCTCCCCAGGGAGCAGGTACAGGCCACTGCAGCCATGTGCCATTGTTAGAGGGCTCTAAGACTGCACAGGGCAGAGCAGCACCAGCCCACACATCTCAACCCCGCTCTCCCATTCCTCTGCTGCAGGACTGACTGGGACAGAGCAGCCTGGCTGACCTAGGTCTGGTCCCACCCTGTCCTGCTGAACCTACTCCCTCCTCCCTGCTCCCACCCCGAGCTGCAGAGGCCAAGCCTTTACCTCACCACAGCGACGATGAAGTCATCGGGGCCCATGACCAGGACCTGGCTGGCAGCAGCCCCACTCTCCAGGGGGGAACGAGGCACGGACGGGTAGGACTGGGAGTCATTGATCAGCTGCCGCAGGGAACTGGCTTCTGATTTACTTCAGCAAGGAGGGAGGGAGAGAGGAAAGCAAGCCGTGAGCCTGGGGAGCTGGATGTGTCCTGGTGTCTCCACAGCTAGGGCTGGGTGTCCCTGAGGGGCTGCATGAGGACAGGGGGCTGTTCTGGCTCACCCCGAGGAAGGAAGGGGTGACAAGGTGGCTGAGTCTGCACAGAGAGGCACTCAGTCTGCCATGAACCTCCAAAGGCTCTGTCTACCCCTGTTTGCCCTCACCAGGAGTAAACCCACCCCCAGTGGCCAAGGTGACAATCCCAGCTGAATGCAGGAGGGCAAGTCAGGCCCAGCCCAAACACCAGCCATGGCTCAGCTAGGCTCTGAGGTGGGAAGCTGGGCTGAAAACCCCAGGCCTGGCCTCTCCTGCACATCTGGGTGTTCTGCAAGGTCCTGAGCCCCACAGAGGGGCAGGAAGAGGCAGAAGTGGCACGTGTGACCAGGGATGGCTGTTTGTCTGACCCACTCAAAGGAAATGTTTAAAGGTGTGCCAGAGTGGGAGGAACTCTCAAGTTGAGGCTGGCTCCAGGAAACCTCTGAGTGAGGACATCCTGTGACACATCCCCAGAGCCCCGTGCCTGTGATCAGCTGTGATCCTTGTTAAAAAATGAGCCCTGGGAGGACACTCAGGGTCTGACTTTTCCTTCATAAAACAGAGGGAGAAAAAGCTCAGGGCACAGCACACCCAAGAACAACACCCAACCCACACATCCTGCAACTGTCACCTGCCTGTCCTCCTCAGACATACCTCACCATGCCTTCTGCTGTGTGAGTGACAGACATGTCACCAGATGGGTCTCCCAGGTTGCTCGCCAGACTCAGGGCTATTTTTAGTGTCTAAAGAAAGAAAGGAAAGAGAGAAGAAGAGAAGGAGAGGAAGAGAGGAGGAGAGGAGGAAGAGAAGGAGAGGAAAAGAGAGGACAGGAAGAGAAGAGGAAGAGAAGGAGAGGAAATGAGAGGAGAGGAAAGGAGAAGGGAAAGGAAAAACATTTATGTGGCCCTGGAAATACAACTTCTGATACTCCAAACTAGAAGAGGTATCTGGTGTCCTGGTGTGTAGGATAAAGCTTATAAAGAAAAATTACCAGAAGTCTGGGTTCTGGGAATACTTCAGTGCAAAGGGCTGCCACATGTGGGTATGGGAACCAAGGAGCCTCAGTCCAGCATGGCAAACTGTGCTGGAGGAGCCAAGTGAATCCAGCAGCATTTGTACAACCACAGAACCAGAGAATGCTTTGAGTTGGAAAGGACCTTAAAGATCACCACATTCCATCCCCCTGCCATGGGCAGGGACACCTTCCCATAGTTCTCCAACCTGATCTTGAGTGCTACCAGGGATGTGGTAGCCACAGCTTCTCTGGGCAACCTCTGCCAGCAGCTCACCATTCTCACAGGGAAGAATTTCTTCCCTATATCCCATCTAACCCTGGCAGTGCGAAGCCACAAGTGCAACATCCCTGGCAGGAGCTAATGTCCAGCTCAGTGGTTCAGCCTCATTGCCAGCTGGCACACAGGGTCTCCAGGATGCCGTTTAGCTTCTCTTTCCGTTCCTGAGTGGTCACCACAACAGCAGAGACCAGGCTGAATCCCAAGGGACAGGGTGTGCTGGGCTCACTGCTGCCTCTGGGCCCCAGCTCTGCTGGCCCACCAGTGCTGAGCAGAAATGAGCTGCTCTGCTCCCCAGCTGGCTGTAAACCACCCAAAGGGCTTGAACAGAAAGCATCAGTCCCAGCACACATCAGGGAATGATGGTGCAAAACGAGGAAAAGATCTGGTTTCTCAGGCATGCAGAATCCTGCCTGAGCCAGTCCATTGAAAATGGGAAGATGCAATTCAAAGGACATGGTTTATCCAGCCCTGGGACCACAGCATAGCCAGGGCAGAGCCATGAGGAGAGAGAGAGCTGCTCCTCAGCCAAGCCAGCCTTGAGAGAGAAAGGCTGAACAGAAACACACTCAACATTCAGCTTGCAGGTTGGGCCATGGTCATTCAGGATCCAGAACATTCCCCTGCAGGCAGCCAGCGAGGTGTGACTGCTGGTCTGGAAAGTGCCACACAGCAACAGCTTCTCCTTGGTTATCAACTGTGTGGAGAGCAGGATGTGACAAACCTCTGGAGAAGGCAGCATTTCCATGGAGCAGTGTCCTGACCACCACACCATGTGGGGGGGACAAGGGCTTGGAGGCCAGGGAAGAGCTCCATGGAAACAGCAGAGCATGTCCACCCCAGTGGTTAAGGACCTCTTAACCTTGGTCCTGGTTGTCCCAGGGCTGGATACCTGAAGCTGGCCTAGCACTGAACCTCAGCCACATGTTTAGCTGTGGGACCCAGGCAATCAGGGTTACACATCTCCTGAAGTGACTGCCTTGGAGCTGCAGGTTGCTGCTCTAGGATAACCAGCAGGTGAAACTCTTGGCAGAGGAAATAGATTCACCCAAAGCTTCCTGAAGAGAGCTCAAAAATTACTCAGGTGAATCAACCTCCTGTGCCTCGGCACAGTGTGTAACACCTCCAGCTGCTGCATTTTTGCTGAGACACTTCCAAGCACCCATTGTCCTGTCTGCTACAAGGATGTAGTTAAATCCTCAATTAAAATTCCCAGCTCATAAAGCCCAGCTGTGGATCTGTAAATTCCCAACTCATAAACCCCATCTGTGCATCTGTGGAACATCTAAGAGCACAACTCTGCTTACAGAGCAGGAGACAGAACACTTGCTCAACCTCCTGAAATCTGCAATGTTTTAGCAGGACAGTCCTAAATACTGAAAAAATTCTGGACCTCAGAGACCATAATTTTTTTTATTATGAAATATTGGGTCAGTTTTCCTTGTGATCACCATGTAGAAGCTTTTCTTGCAGCACACCTTGCAGTGCCCTCAGGTGCTCTGCAGTGGCCAGGGCCACTGGAGCTAAGAGGTGGAGGAACTTAATGGGACAACCCTCAGGTGCTGTGGGGTCATTCTGCAGAGATGACTGTATACAAGACATGGACAAAGCCACAGTTTGTTCTGAAAAAGCTCTTCCTAAGCAGGAAAGATCCTCTGCTCAGCCTCTGAGACAGCAGCACTGCTCAGTTTTACACCTTAGCAGTCTATTTGTGCATTCTTCTCTGGGAATAACCTACAAATATTTTTGTACAACCACAAAATAAAGAAATCATTCTCTAGCAGCACAAGCAATTCAGCCAAATGTTGAACCTCCTCTCACCTCCACCATCCAGTGCAAGATGTTCCCTCTGGATCCTTGCCTTGTGATGTTAAAGCCCTCGAGGATGTTCAGTGCTGAGATCAGTGCAGGACCTGCATGTGGAGGTGGGGGGGTGAAAACAAGGTGCCCTGTGGAGGGAAGAGAAGAGGAATGAAGCTGCTTTTCTCAGACACCATCCAGTGAGAACACTCATCCATGAGGACAGGGAAACCCTTCCAGATTCAAGGGGAAGTAATAGAAAGCATCATGATTTGAGAAGGGCTTCCCAGAACATCCCTGTATCTTTCTGTTTCTTCATGAAGGATGAAGGAAGCCCAAACAGGGATGCTTTATTACCTCTGAAATTCAGTTCTCGTTGGCTGGCTGTTGGTTTCTAGAGTGCAGTAGGGTAGAATGGAGATGGAACCATAGAAAACCAGAACGGTTTAGGTTGGAAGGGATCTTAAAAGTCATCCAGTGCCATGGGTAGGACATCTTCCACTATCCCAAGTTGCTCCAAGCCCCGTTCAACCTGGCCTTGGACACTTCCAGATGTGGGGCAGCCACATCTGCTCTAGGCCCTGTGCCAAGGCTTCACCTCCCTCACAGGGAGAGATTGCTTCCTAACACCTATTCTAAATCTCTTCTCTTTTAGTCTGAAATCATTCCCCTTGTCCTGTCACTCTCTGCCCATGCTAAAAGTCACTTTCCCTCATTTTTTATAAACCTCTTTTACATACTGGAAGGCTACCTAAAAAAATTTGCAACATTACAGCTATAAGGAGGGTAAATGCAGGGAATGCTAGAAAATATTCACATTTTAGAACCTTCTTGCATAAAGTTAGCTTTTTCCCCTTTGGGAACTGTCTTTAGCTGTAGGTCCACTTCTATTGAGATGTTGCATCAAGATATGACCATGTCACATCTTTAGACTTTTAAGGGAAAAAACATTTCAAAGAGCTGAAAATCTCCTGAGCCACCCATGATGCATCAGCAGGGAATAGCAGGAAACTCTTTGGAAGGCCTTTCTGCAGACATTTCAGCACAGCTTTGACTTTAACTCTTGCTCAATGCTGTTTCCACCCCTTGCAAGGTGAAGAAAACCTTCCCCTGGAGCTGCATGGCGACGGGTGAGGGAGTACCTCGATAGATTGTGTGCACGGGGTCCTCCACAGTGACACTGTAATTGCTGAAATCCTCCTCCACCAAGACTCCTCCGTAGTCATGGACCTGCACGAGAGCAAAGCAGTGCACACTGAGCAGCCTGGGCCAAGGCTCTCTGTGCAACACAGCCCTCACTGTCAAACACACTCCACTGAGATTCCTGAGCCAAGTGCCAGGTTCCTTAGGATACCCTGGAAATCTGTGCTTTCACAGCCCTGGTGACCTGGCTCACAGCTCAGCATTGCAGGAAGGCTCTGCACTCCCCTCCAAAAGCTCACCCAACCCAAGGGTGCTCCCAGGACATTCTGTCTGCCCAGGAAGATGGGGACTGGCCCTGCCCTGCAGCCTTCCCTGCCCTGGCTGGCAAACAGGAGTGTGTTAAGGGGTATTGAATACTGCCAGGATTATGGGTCCAGGAGACAAGGAGCTTGGCTGTAGCAGGTGGCCATCACTAGAAATAACAACTAAAAAAATTACTGTTCTCACCCTATTTGAAATTATTTAATCTGACAGTGGGTCTACTGTAGCCTTGGTCTTCCTGTAAGATTCCTGTCAGAGGTACAATGTACCAGGGTTGGCACAGGAAAGATGGGCCATTCCCTCCACTGCAGGTCCTCTGTGGTTGAGGGATTATGGAGATGAGGGAGGACTATCAGAGCATGGTGGGGCACTGCCCAGGCTCCCCAGGGAATGGGCATGGCCCCAAGGCTGCCAGAGCTCCAGGAGTGTTTGGAAAATGCTCTCAGGGAGAGGGTGGGATTGTTGGGATGCCTACATGCTCTGAACTCTAACCCAGCTAGCTTCCTTGGCAGGAAAACTCCTCTGCCAAAACTGAATGAATCACTGGAGCAGGACAGCTAGTGCAGGGCATGCTGTGGGGCCAGAATGTCAAGCAACCCCAAAGCTGCTAAAGATGTCTCTCCTACTTGGGATCCCTGTTTCCTCCCCAGAAAAAAGGCTGGTTGAACCCCAGGGCTCTGCTGAGCCAGGACCTGGCTCCCCACACCTAGCCAGTGGGGAATGGGGCATAAGGAGCAGAGAAAGGGGAATAAACCCCAGTCAGCCACACACTGCAGACATCCCAAATTCCCAAGAGAGCACTATTTTGCACCTGTGCCTGGAAGCAAAGAGTAGGTGTTTTGGAGCTGTTGTTTTCACCAGATGGATGCCCTCCCTGTACTGGAACAATAAACACTTTGTGAAGGCAGCACTTTGCTCTGCAACCAAAGCTGGAATTGTACACTGGATCCCAGAGCTTGTCAGGAGGGTCTTTGATGTGGCAACCCTGGGTCTTGCTCTTCCACAGAGAATTTGTGCTTCCCTGTGGCAGCCCCCAGGTCAGGGGAACATGGTGACAAAGCAGGGTTTAGCTGTGGAGATGCTCACAAGCTTGGGACTCTCCCTGCTCCCCACCCTTCACCTCTGCTGTAGTTCAGGTGAACTGTAGATTTCCAAACACAGAGCCCCCACAGATGTCTGAGGCTTGAATGGAATGAACACGTTCCAGATTCTTGATGAGCTATTGAAGGAGCATCACCATGGTGGCTCAATAAAATGGTGCCCCAACTACCCCGACTGCAGCCACACAGATATAAAAGTTGTTATGGGTTGTTGGGGGCTTTTTTCTTGTCTGTTCTGATATTTTATCCAGAGTACCTCTAACAGGAGTTAAACTAGGGCAACCCCAAGTGGGACCAAGCCTTTCTAATCCTCTGCTCACAAGACTCAGTTTATTTTTAAACCATCTTCTTGGAGTCTTTATCCTACAATCCCATTAACCATAACAACTTGTTTCTCAATAGCCTCTTGTTCTGGGGGAAAAGGCTTTGTCACCCAACTGAACAGAGCCCAAAGCCTAAAATGTTTTTTATTTTCCTTCCAGATTGTTCTGGTTATAGAGGAAATGGAGATTTCACTTCTGTAGACTGGGGGAATGGCCTGTGTGTCACTCCCACCACTGCGGGGACAGGGAAGGAAAAGGAGGCATCTGTCCCCATCATTGTGCTGGCACTTGGCTTATCTCCAGTTTGTCACCTTAAGCAGGTGGCAGCCCCCGGCTGGCAGGTGCCAGGGGCAGTCCTGGCTCACCTCAGAGATCATCTCCTGGGTCAGGTTCCCGCTGTAGAAGGCTGACACCCCCTCTGCCCCCAGCAGCTGCAGCACGGCCGCCAGGTCCAGGCGCCGGACGAACGTCCCCGGCAGCAGGGGCTGCCCGTCGGGCAGGAAGATCTCCTGGAATCGCTCAGAGTAGTTCAGGTCCTTCAGTTCACTCAGGGCTTTGGCTGCAGGTGAGAAGGGGAAGGACATCCAGAAAAAACAGGGGTCAGGAAGGCACAAAGGACCTGGAGTCACTGTGCACCTGATGGGGATGTTGAAGGCCTGCTGCTGCCTCTGGCCCTCTTGCAAAACTAGAGGGGAGCTGGATCGTTGGTCCTTTGGAACTGGGAAAGAAACCCAAAGAAACCCCAGCACCCTTCCCTGCCTGGCCCTGGGCACTGCCCAGTGTGGCTGCTCTGCCCTGGCTCTGCCCAGCCACGGCAAAGGGCTCCCGTTTGGCTGCCACCACGCTGTCCCCTGGCAGACCGTGGCTCACGCATTGCTCACCTCCCAACACCATTCAATCTCCATGCCCACAAAGCCTTGATTTCCCATGACTAACCCACTGAATCCCCAGCTGCCTTGCACAGTGAACTGCCCTGAGCTGCCCATCAGGTACTCACCCAGGTCATGTGTGACATTAAAGCCGTTCTGGGCGACACCGGCTGCGAGGCCCAGCAGCTCGGACCATGGGAGCCTGCCAAGGGAGAGAGGACAAGGAGAAATGGGCCTTGGAGGGCTGCAGTGGGGCAAGTGGTGGGCAGCAAGCATAGGGCTTGGCTCTGCAGTCAGGGGCTCCTGGGAGACCAGGCCGTGTGGCCAGCAGTGGCCAAAAGGAGCACTGAACTTTCAGTGCTTCTCCTTAACAGGATCCTGTCAGTGCTCCAGGATGTGCCCCAGAGAGAATGGCAGTGCATGCATGGGGAAAGGGCTGTCTCAGCAGCAAAAGCTCAAGCCAGGCTCTGGTCATGAGCAAGGCATTTAGATCCCTCCATATCCCAACAGAGCACCAAGGACAGGCATACTTCTTAGAATCCAGCCAAAGAGAGAATGAAAATGCACAGACATGTGAGACCGAGTGCTGCAGCTCTAACAGAACATTTTTGTACATCTTCTTAGCCAACAGGTCACTTTGCAGAAAACGTGACCAAGCTGAATTTTTTCTTTTGTACATGAAACAGCAAAAAATAAACATCTCTTTCAACACAAGCCTCCAAGTACCTCTTAGCTGATGGTTTTGACTGGTGGCTGAGAACATGGTCTGATGGCAAGAGCTTGTGTGCTCCCAGCTTCCCACAGGGACCCCAGGGCACAGCCTGTGCCAACCTCGTGTCTTACCTGCCATGTAACTGGTGTGCCTGGTGCATTCCTAGGATCATGCCTGGCACCCCTACAAGCAGACCTGGCTGTAAAACAGGAGGAACAAAAAGGAAGAGAGTAGTCTCCTTCCCATGAGGACATGGGACATGGTCCCCAACTGCAAGGGGAGGTGCAAATCATGCTTACTTTGGAATTATCTGCATAGTTAGGAGAAGGGAAGAGTCTGTAGCAACACACTTTACTATGGAATAAAAGGTTTTGGAAGGAGAGAGGCAAATTAAATCTTGTTCTCAACCCAGTTTGGTCAGGAGAGATAATTCAGCAGGACAACCTGGGATTATGCTCCTTCCTAGGGTTCTTGTTCTCCCAGCACCCTGCTACCACAGAGATGTACCTTTTTACTCCCCAGAGCTCTGCATGCATTTTGGGGCTGATAAAGAAGTGTTTTCTCTAGATTCCCCATGTCTGTAGGGCCCAGGATCTCCTATGATGAGAGAGACCTCTTGCTGCTTTGCTGGGCATCTGCCCCTCAGCCTGAAAGTTGGAGGAAGGAGAGCTGGAGACACCAGCCCTGGAGACAATGGCTGTGGGATACTGGTTCTCACCTTGGTGTCCTGCTGCAGGTCCCCTTCCAGCGGGATGCCCAAGGGAGCCACCTCACGGAAGTCGATGGCCCAGCTCCTGTTCTTGCGGATGTCGTGGACCAGCATCACCCCGCCCCTGCGGCGACACAGGGCAGGGCGTGGCAGCGGCTGCCCTGCAGCGGCCGCGGCCGGGTAGCTGGGGTGCGCTGAGGCCGGGGCCGGGCCAGGGAGACAAGGGGCTCTGTGCCAGGGCACCAGCCCCAGCGGGGCCACGGGCTGGCCAGAGTAGCAGCAAATGCTGCTGTCCTTCCCTAGGGCACACACCAGGACAGCCAAGGCAGGGTTGGTGTAGGACACAGGCAGCCCTAGGCTGAGCCAGGTGAGGCTGGAGCAGTCCCTGCCTTCCTGGTCATAGAGCCACTGGCTCTGTTCCACTGCCAGGCTGGGACCATCTGGGATTTTCTTTCTAATCTGAGCAGTTTTGCAACAAAAGAGGGTGTTTGCTTACAGCAGCAATGGGTGGTGCAGCTGGAGCAGTGATCAGGTGCTGAGCCCTCCTGCAGAGCGAGGAGCATCAGGCTCACGTGGATGCCACCCTGGGAATGAGGGCTGGGAGAAGGACACCCCTCCCTGGCAACTTCCTGGAGCTGGGCTCCGGACCTCAGCCTCAGGAGCAGAGCTGGTGGGAGGCAGGACTTGGGCTCTGAAAGCACTGGGAGGGACTGAGTCCAGGGTGTTTGTAGCTCCTGGTGCAGCTCACGTGGCTGGGGGACCACGTCTTCCTCTGATGCTCACCAGCCCTCTTGAGCCTGGGGCTGGGATGCTCTCTGCAGCCACTACAGCAAAAACAATTCCCTGCCTGGCGGTCTCTGTCCTGTGTTGACAGCATGGAGCACAGGAAGGGTCACTGTGACAGATGTGGACACATCCACTGCCTGATGTCAGAGTCCTGGCACCACACCCTGAGCCTGGCACTGCCACAGAGGCACTTCTCAGCTGCAGAGGGACTTTTTACAAGGGCAGATAGTGACAGAACAAGGGAGAATGGCTTTACACTGACAGAGGGCAGGTTTACATCAGGTATTTGGAAGAAATATTCCTCTGTCTGAGAGGAGGTAGGGGAACCAGGCACTGGTGTAGTCTGCCCCATCCCTGGAAGTGTCCAAGACCAGGCTGGATGGGGCTTGGAACAACTTGGGATAGTGGAAGTGTCCCTGCCCATAGCAGGGGCTGGGACTGGATGGGCTTTAAGGCTTCTCCAACCCAAACCAGCCTGGGATTCTGTGAAACCACTCCCTTGAGGACAGCTGAAGACAAGAGCAGAGGGCGAGCGCCCCACACTTACCCGCCCAGCCCCGAGGTGTGGGGGTTGACGATGCCGGCGCAGAGGGCCGAGGCGATGGCCGCGTCCACCGAGGAGCCGTGCCTGGCCAGCACGTGGGTGCCCAGCGCGGTGCAGCGCGCGGCGTCCGTCACCACGGCGCCGCGGTGGAACAGCTGCCGGAACGAGAGGGCACCGCTGGGCAGGGCTGCTCCTGCCCGCCTCTGCACCCACCAGTGTGGCACCTGAGGCCTGGCGCCAGCGCCAGGGCCGTGGCTGATCCAACAAATGCCAGTGGGAACCGTATGTCCCTTGGCACGTCCCTGCTCCAGGGCAGCTGCAGGTAGCCACGGCCACCAGTTCAGACAGCTTTCCACACTCTGTGTGCCAGGCTGGGGGGCTCGTCTCCCTGTGCCCCTCACCAGCCCAGAGCTGTCCCTGTGCTGCAGCCAGGCAGTCACCAGGAATGGGGATACAGCTGTAAGGGATGCAGCAGGCCCCCAGGACCACAGCTTGTTCTCATCCCTGTGCCAGAGCTGTGCTAATGCAGTCACATGATATTTTAAGGAGTTGATTTTCATCCCTATGGCACAAATTGCAGCATCTCAACAAGAGCCAGGCTGGCCTGGGGACATGCAAAGACAGAAGGGTCCTGGCAGCACATGGAGATGGTGATGGTAACTCCTGGCTGACTGTGACCCTGGCAGAAGTTCTGCAGGAGAATCCAACCCTGTGGCCATGCTGCCTTGGCTGTGCAATCTAGCACTGGGCTGTGGGAGAGATTATCAGGAGGTTCATCTCTGTTTTCAGCTACTTCCCTGCTTAGTCCTGGGTGAATCTTCCAGAGGTGAATCTGGGCATGTATGCCCACAATCCACAAAACTGTACAAGTGGACAAGATGCCTACTGTTTAACTAAGGATTACTTTCTGAAAGCACTCCCACCTGGCTCAAACCACAGCTGCAGTCACAGCAGTGGGGTTGTCTGTTCTCCCCCAGCAGCACCCCCAAACCTGCCTGACACAGCCCCCCACACCCTGGCCATGCAGCAAGCTCTGAGAGTCTGGCTCGGTTCTCCAAGCACAACCTCCAGGTGGAGGAAAAGACTTTCAAGCCAATTTGGGGTTGAACCATGGGGGAGACTGAGCACCCAGGGCCTCACTGACACCAGCCATGGCTCCCCAGTACTCCACTTGCCAAACTGCTGACCAGGAGGAAAGTCAGGGAGCTCTCCCCTCTGTGGAGCCAAAGCCTAACCATACTTTACAAATAACATACGCTGTTTTGTCTTACCTGAGGGTCCCCAAAATAGATCTGCATAATGAGGGCCACGGTGACACCAGTGGCGAAGGTCAGGCAGGCGGTGATGATGACGGTCAGCCCATCCTGCCGGCAGCTGCAGTCTCCTGAGAAGGGGTCCTTGCTGGTCTCCTGCAGAGGGGACACATCCTGGCTCCCCATCTCTGAGGAGGACGAGGGCAGGCGCTGCAGACGCGCAGACTTCAGGAAGGAGTCTGGGTCTTTGTGGGCAACAGGGAGAAAACAGGTGTGAGTTATTGAGCAACTTGGGGCTCTTATTGCAGTGTTTACCCAGAACTAACATTACACTGAGCCCATTCCAGCAAAGCTATCACCTTCCCTACTGATCCCAGCTCTCAGCAGCCTTTCTGGCTCAGATCGTGCTTTGAGTCATTTTACTGATCCTTTTCTTTAGCTCTGGTTATTCCAAACTGACTTCCCTGGAGATTGAGAGAGATGAAAAACCCTTGAATTTTTACTCCATTTCAGTCCATTCATCAGCCTTCAGTGACAGGCCCTCTCTTATGCTCCATCTGGAGGGGTTCTTAACACAGCAAACAGGTCTTTGAAATGCAGCAGGACTGAAGAAGAGGAAATTAAGATATGAAAAAAGATGCAGCAGCTTTACTTGGAGCTGTGATTGAGCTAAAAAACCTGAGCAAAGCAGAGGTAGAGCAAAACATTTGGCCTGGGCACAGAAAATCCCTCTAGAAAAGTGAGGGCAGGGAGGAGCAAACCTGCAAACCGGAGGCCTTGGAACATCCGCTCGCTCCTCTGCAGGAAGGACTCTGCTTTAATTCCTTGCTTCCTCTGGCAGATGAGGCCCGCTCTGAAATGAAGCCACACACTGGACACCCAGCTCCAAGATGGCAAAGCAGTGGGGCAGGTGTTTCCTGGGCCTCAGCAGGATGAAAAAGTCTCGGTTTTGCTCTGAAAGATGCCTTGAATCTCTGTGAGTGTCAGCTGCTGCCCTTCTGCTGGGAGAACACCAGCTAAGGATGCCCTGCCCGTCCCGTTGCTGCCAAGCACATGGAGCTGCTGGGGCAGCTGTGAGGTTTTGCCCACCCCTCATGGGCCCTGAAGGGAACCCAGCAGCTCAGGGCATCATCCAGGGCTCCTGAAAGAATTTTTTCAGGGGTTGCAGTACTCTGTGCATCCATAGTGGAAAAAGAGGGGCACCAAGTGGAAGATACGAGAAGCTTGTCCCTCCATACAAATGTTTCCTGGGTTTGGAAAAGGAGAAGGGGAGTGAGCAGGAAAGCCCACATCCCACATCAATCTGTCTGGTCTGGCAGGTGCTAGGTATCACTATGGGCACTGCCAGCCCAGTCTTTGTCATGGCATTAACCTGACCTGGCTGCAGCTCTCCTGAAGCCAGGGAGGGAAGGAGTTTTAATTTCCGTGATGCTGCAACCAGGAGTAAACTCCCACAGCCAGGGAATCCTCTCAGGGTGAATTTAATCTCATTTGCTGTGGTGGTTTAGGAGTGGGACTGGGAAAGGCTCAGCTTTTGCAGCCCGAGTCTCTGAGCACACACTGAGCTCCTCATGGGGCCTGGTCTAAGTGAGCTGGACTGAGCAGGAGGACTGGCTGGTGGCCTCAGTGAGGGCCACAACCGGCCTGGCAGGGGTTGCCATTGGGGGGGGATGTCACATCCAGCCTCTGGCACACACGAGTGAGGCCCCAGCCCCACCTGCAGGGAAACAGTGAGGAGTGAGCTCGACTCCAGGACACCATGCCTTCCCACTGGTGACAGGCCAGCCCAGCATGAGGGGACACGAACACCTAGGAAGCAACTGTAGAAGAGGGCAGACCACAGCCCTCCCACCGTGAAGCACCTCCACATTCTCTGCCTCAGACATCCTCTTTTTAGTCTCTGTGACCACTGGTGTCGCACAGGGACACCAGAGCCGCGGTGTGGGGATGGGAGCAGCTGGAAGGGGTCACATGGGAGCAGAAGCAGCCTGCACAGCCGATGCACAGCTGCCCATCCCAACACCAATGTGCATGCTTTGAAAAAGAAGCCACCAAATCCCACTTGGCTTCTGTGGGGCCGTGAAGGAGTCATGGCTTCATGGAGGAGCCAATGCTTTGGAGAACCAGGGCCACCTGAAGTCTGGAGCTGCTGCAGAGGAGACAGCAGAGACTGGAGCTGCTGGTGGGCTCTGCAGGTGCTCCTGCAACAAGTGTGAGGAGAGCAGCAGCTCTCTTCTCCAGCCACCTCACCTGCAGCTGTTGGCACTGCCAAAACTGCACCAGATTCTGGCTGTGTGACAAGAGGCCTCTTGCTTCCAGGGGAGCTGCTCCCACACTGCTGCAGGCAGCGGCTCTGCCTCGACAGTCAGGAGAGCACAGGGTGGGAGCGGGCAATGGGAGCTTCACCCGTGGGCATGATGGCACAGGGCAGACAGCAAGGGGAGCCTGGGGCTGTGCAAACATGGGCTTGGGGGCTGACAGGCACCCGGACTGGGAACCAACCCCAGGGGGAAGGGCAATACCGCTTGAAGAAACACAACATGAGGGAGAAACAGCATTTCGCTCAGCTATGGAGGAGAAAACAATCAGTTAAAAATAGGCAGAGGATTTTCTCACAGATCAAACGATCACCTGACTTTATTCCAGCTGAGCACCGGAGGGATGAAGCATCCCGGACTGAGGGATGTGCACAGAGCACCCCAGGGTGGCGGGATACTCAAGGAGCATCCCAGGCGGAGAGATGCTCAAGGAGCATGCAAGGAGGCCATGCACAAGTGGTCCAGGCTGGAAGGCCAAGCTGGCTGTGGGAGAACACATTGCAGGCTGCCCTGGGAGGCTCCGTGCCGAACCCGCGGATCCCTGGCTGCCTTCCGCCCCTCAGGGTGAGGCGGGGCCGGGGCGCAGGGCCGGCGGGAGCCGGGGAGCCCCGCTCCGGGCGCGGGGCCGGGGCCGGGGGTGCCGGGGGCCGCGGGCGGGCTCTGCCGCCGCCCCTCACCCGTGTCCTGCTCGCCCAGGAACGCGTCCTCCTCCTTGCGGGCGCGGAGGCCGCTCTCGGCCGCGCCGCTCGGCTCGTCCTCGGGCAGCCGCGGGAAGCTGGTGATGCTCATGTAGTCCACGGGCGAGCCGGCGGCCAGGGCCCGCTGCCGGCCCGGCACCGCCTCCGGCACTGCCATCGCCGGGTCACCCGAACCGGGTCACGCCGAGCCGGGACCCGCAGGCGCCCGGGCCGGGCCGGGCCCAGCGCTCCCGGTCAAAGCGGGTGTGTCCGGCCCGGGCCGCGCTCCAGCCGGGGCTGCTCCATGGCCCGAGGGCCCCTTCGCCCCTGGCCCACGCAGGGGGATCAGCCCCGGCCACACCGCACCCGGCGGGTTCCGGGCCAAGCCTCCGGGCAGCTGGATCCGAGATTCCTCCGTCCGCCTCCAGAAGGCTGGAAGAGTTTTCCAGGGGATGTGCACGCACATTATGTCGCTGCCGCAGCCAGCCCGTAGCAGGGTGCTCACATGTCACCCTTGGCACGGGGCACAGGGGCACCAGCACCCAGTGGCACCATCAGCAAGAGATGCCGTGACATTTCCGCAGAGCGGCCGGGTGTTTGCTCTCCTACAGCCTTCCTTCCATGGCTGGCTGCTCGTGCTTTGACCCTCTGGGATGAGAGCCGGACACCGAGGTTCCCTCCACAGCACAGGGGGTTTGGGTTGCCGTTTGCAGGTGCGGCTGGCCAGGCTGACCTGGCACTGGGGGCTCCCTGCTCCTGGCTCCAGCAGCACCAGCACAGGTGTCAGGAGGGGCTGCGGCTGCTGGGCAGCACAGGGAGCCAGCACAAAGCCGAATGGGGGCACAGGACCAGCTATGCCTGGGCAGGCCTGAGCTGTGGTTACCAACAGCTCTCATTTGGCAAAGAGTTGTGGTGGACTTAAATGTGTTGAGGGGCCTGGTGTTTCTGAGGTCAAATTGGCTGAAACATTTAAATTTCCCCTACACTTCTTCCAGAGATAGACCTAAAAACCACCAGTAAAATAACTGTAAGATGGAAGATGGTGTTTCTCTCCATGGTCCAAGTTTGTGAAAATTGCTTATCCCTGCAACAACACTGGCCTCTCTCGACTTGGCACGCAAACTTGTCTCTTTGGCTGCCAAATCTGAAAAATCCACCTACTGCCCCAATGTATCCTGGACATCTGTTGTTTTGGGAAGCAGAGCATGTGGAGTGCTGTTTGGATCTGGGGAGGTCACCTGACAGGTACATGTCCTACTTTCTCATCCTCCACTGAGCCAGCTAATCCCCTGCATGAGCAGCTCCACTGGCTCAGTGCTCCTCAACACAGGGACTTGTAAATCTTCCTTTGCTGAGGCACTGGCAAGGATTTGGTTGTGCCTCCAGCAGCCCGAGGGCATCATGACCAATGCCAGCTGTAGTAAATAAATAAATAGGAATAGGGACAGGAGTAGGATAGTTTGGCTTTTGCAAACCAGTCTCAGCCTACTCCACTTTCAGGCATCTGTCCAGCTGGAGGAGTTTCTTCCCCACCACTGCATTTTCAACAAGGCCAGGAGCCGTGTCCATACTGCATCCTCTTCCACCCACTGCCTGGCAGAGGATCCCCCACCAACCTCGCCTCTGCCTCTCTGGTGTTTAAGACAAACCCAAACCAATTGGCTGTGGCAGGAGCAGCCACCTCAGCCCCTCTGGCCAGTGACGTGCCACCACCCTCGGTCATGTCACGGCTGGCTCCAGCCTGAGGGACCCCTGGGGACGTGGTGGGGCAGAAGGGCAGAGCTGCAGTAAGGAAAGGTTAATGTGGCTCTGTCCTACCACAGAGCAGATCCCACAGGCTCTGGAAGGAGCCACGCTGGGGGGCAGCGGAGTCGCTCCTCAGAGCTGCGGGTCAGCAGTCGGGAACTGTCCCCGAGGGGCAGCACGAAGCTCCTCGAGGCTGAGAGCCCTCAGCTCCTTGCATTGGGATTGTGCATTCCAGGGGACCCTTCTGAAATCCTGAGAATTTGTACAGTCAGGCGGTTCCAATTCTACTTCACAGCACGAATCTGTTTTCATATGTTGGCTGAGGTTTAATTGGTTTATCTAGTTTAATTGGTTTATAAAAGACGTTTATTTGAATATATTGTGTCAATGTTACAAGCTTTGTGATACCTGTGGGCAGCTGAAAGCCAATGGCTGTGAGCACAGTCTTTGCAAGCTTGGAAATCGACCTGGGAACTGCAGAGATGGTGACACCCCATGAAGAGGACAGAGGCTCCTTGCAGGGTGCTGCCACCCCAACAGGCACTGCTCGGTGCCAGGTCTAGCTGGGCCCTGACAGCTGGGATTGGCAGGACTTGAGATGCCTGGGTGCACAGCCACCCTCCAACACCCCTTGGCACCCACCCCAGTCTTCTACCTTTAACACCCACAGTAACTTGCATTAATTTCAGCACATTATGTGCCTGGAGGCCAAGGACACCAGAAAGTCCAGTTCCACCACACAAAACACTTGGTGCTCACCTCTCAGCAAGGTTAGGCCAGGGGATCTCTCTCCCTCCTGCCAGGGACTGGCTACTCTTTGCTGAAAGCCGAGGTGATGTTCTGCAGGTCTGCAGCTTGGCAGGGAGCTGCTCTGTGGGCAGTGCAGCCTCCATGTCAGCCCCATGAGGACACAGCTGCTGCTGGAACTGTATCCCAGCAGCTGGGGCTCCCACAGCCCAGCTCTCCAGCGCAGGAAGGACATTCTTCCCCCGAGCTGAGGTGCTACTGGCCCCCACCAGCCACTGGCTCTTTCGCACCAAGGAGTGCAGAGTAAGCTTGTTGTGCCAGTGCAGAACTGTGAGGGCAGGGGTGCTGCCCAAGCCCGGCTCTCCCACAGCATTCCCTGCTCCTGTCAGCCACTGCTCTCCTGTCCTCCCAGCACCAAACCTCTCTGCTAGACCATTCCTCTGTCACCCTCTCAAATCTCTGCAAGTACTCCCTGTATTTACAGTTCTCATTGTTTGCAAGATGCTCAGCTCCCTTCTGCTGGCTGCCACGTTGCCTTGAGCTTAAAATTAACTCCCTCCTTCATGAGCAGGCCCCAAAGATTTAGTTCTCCTGCTGACCAGCACAGAGGATACCAGCTTCTAGACCCTGAGGTACCCCTTAAAACAGGAACCTGAAGAGAAAAACCTGCAGCTGGGCAACAAGTGCAGGCTCTTTAACCTGAGCCTTAAAGATATCAGAGGCCAATGTCTGTTCATGGCCATGATCCTCCTCAGCTCAGGTTCAGCTTCCAGCCACTGGAACTGCACTGAATTGTCCAAGGAACTGAGCTGGTGGGAGCACAGGCAAGCAAGGAATAGAGCAAAGGGTCAGGGAAGCAGCTGTGCACTCTCTCTGCACGTGGTGCAGCACTGCTCCAGGTCCTGCTCCAGACCACACCTGAGCACTCTGGAGAAGCACTGGCTCAGTGTGTCACAGGGCAGGGACACTCACTAAAGGAGCAGAACAAGCAACACAGCTTAGCCTGCTTAGCTGAAGCATGGATCTAAGCATTAGCTACCACTGCAAATGCTTCTCAAAGTACAGCACAACAGACCCAAGAATCTTAAAAACTTTACCAAAAAATCCCACCATTTCACAAAACATCAAAGACCAGAGGACACAGAAGCTGCACAGTGGATTATCCAGGCAACATTTATTGGAGCATTTCAAGTATACAATGGTTTTACTAAAGGCCGTAAGCAACTAAGATGCAGACAGGTGCCAGCAGGAAAGGGTGACCTAGAACTAGCAGGCTATGCAATTTTCATGGGAAGTTAATGATTTCAGCTGACAGGAAAGGAAGAGAAAGTAGCAGACTAAAAGTTTGGGGATAGGGAGGAGAAAATAAAGAAGTTTTTTTGAGATAATTTACTAAATTGGCCACTCACAAGTAGCAGAAGCTGTCTGCTATTGCACTCTTCCCTTGGCATCCCAAGGACCTAAAATAACCAGGGCTGTTTCTTCGCCAAGAACTGACAGATTTTCCCTGGTAAGAATGGGGGCTCACCCTGGCTCAGCACTTGGAAATTGAGATCCCTGGCTTTGCACTCCCAGTGAGAGCCAGGCTGTGGCACTTCCACCAGAGAGGAGGCAATGCAGGCTTGCAGCAAGAGCACACTAAACTACCAACCCCTCACTATAAGGCAGCATTAGGTCAGGACTCTTTTTGGGTGCCTGAGCTGTTTAGAGAAGCAAGGACCACATGGCAACAAGACAATAAGGTCCTGTGACAATAACAAGGACTGTGCGTGTTTCCCAAGAACTATTTCTGAAAGACACGCTCTTTAAAAATACCTTAAAGCAGAGACTCCCCATTGATGCACAAAAAGGGCATGACTAGGGAGGGACTGAGCTATGAAGCCATCAAGTACCTCCCAAACCACAGGTTGTGTACTCTGCCCAGTTTGCAAGTTGGTACTTTTGCATTTAAGATAATAGCTGCCTCAATTGTGTTTTAGTGTCCTGCATTTATGAACAAAGAGCAGTTGAATTCAAGAGCTTAAAACCAATTTGAAACACTAACATTTAACAGGGTATCTCCACAACGACTCCTTCGAGAATACGAAGCTCTGAGGTATGTGATGGCAACTTGGTAGCCAGGTTGGCAGAGTGCAGTGGAGCTTCTAAGCCTCCTGAATACATCTTGGTTTACCAAATGAATCAGTTCTTCCTGCCAAAATCACTTAAAAATTTGTCTTCGGCAAAAAGCATTTTAAAAATCTGATCAACAACTGATTTGCAAGTAAAACAAAGAAAATATTAGAAATGGTAACAACACAGTCTGTTTAATCAAATCAGATCTGGTTACTACAAAAACATGCTAAGGACAGCCACCAGCTCGTGTCCTGGGTGCTGCTGTGCCTTCTGCCCACATACCTACAACTGCTTTTGAAACACTGTTTGTCTAAAGGACAACCATGGAAGACAAGTCAGGTTTAATGACAGATTTCAAACAGAAGGGCATACACACATTAAATTAACAGTTTCAACCTTCGGCACACAGGAGTTTGGTAAGAGTTACTGGCTAGAGTCACAGAAAGTTCCAAATTTGAACAGTCTTGAACCACTTCCAAAAATTCCAATGGCTTTTTAATAGTTCCAATAATTCACGGGTATATAAAACTGAGACAGGCTTCTCCAGCAGAAGAGTTTGGGCTCCTCCAGGCTACCCAGACCACTGGTACAGGGGAGAGCTGGTTTGACTTCCCCACTTTGCCACCAGTCCACTAAAGACTAGGATTTAT